AAATAAGTCTTAAGTGTACAGAATTTTACATTTTACATAAGTAAAATGCAAATGTATGTAGGACCATACTATGCAATATGGTAGCTGCTACTCATAGATAGCTGTTTCAATTAAGTAAAATGAAGAATTCAGTTCCAGGCTAAGGATGTAGCTTGCCTTGCATATACAAGGCTCTGGGTTCGATCCCCAACACCTGGGGGGAAAAAAGATTTCAGTTTGTAGTCATAGTAGTCACATTTCAGGTGCTCATTTCATGTGACCTGTGGTTACTGTATTGTTCAGTGCATACAAAGACATTGTTCCAGAAAGTTCTGTTGGACCAGGGCTGTAGAAATATTATAAACATCCTGGAAGATTCTCTTGTCCACCTTCCTTTTCATATATCCTCCTCTGGAGATATTGTTCTTACCTCTACCATCACAGTTTAATATTATTTGGTTTTGATCTTTTGATCAAATAAAAATCATTATACATTGCACAGCCTTGTGAGTAGGGAAGGCAAAGTCAAGACCAGCTTGTTCTGGAGTGCTGATCCTGGGGTCATTCTCTGGATTATGTATTCTTTAGTACAGTGTCTGTCTTGGTCTGTTCAGAGTTTCCTAATCAGGTTGAGTTTGTCCCCCACAGGGCAGTAGTTGGCAGTATCTGGAACCATTTGTATTGTTAAAACTGGAAGCAGGGCTGGGGTTGTGGCTCAGTGGTACAGCGCTTGCCTTGCACACGTRAGGCCCTGGGTTTGATCCTCAGCACCACATAAAAATAAATAAGTAAATAACAAAAGTTTGGTTTGGTTTGGTTTGGTTTTAATGGAAGCAGAGGTGGATATTGGCATCCAGCAAGTAGAGCCCAGTAATTCTGCTTAACATTCTCTAATACACCAGGTAGCACCCCACAATAAATTACCTGATCCAAAATGTTGTTAACAATGCTGAAGTTGTGAAAAATTCCACATGAAAATTTCCACAAAGAGCACTCACTGGTATGAACATGGTAGTTTTTATATGATTATGGGCTGCTGTCACATTACTTAAAGAATATATATATATCATTGACCTCATGCGACCTTTAAGTGCTTTTAATACAAGCCAAGGATCCTATCTTTGAAATTTATGGAAATAATTAATTGTGTTAGGAAGAGAAATCTGATTTTTATGTTTAAAAAAGAAAGTTTTCCACATCTCATTAGTTTATTCCTTTGGCAACAACTATTCAAAATAGCAGCATCAAAAACTTTTAAAAATGTCTTTCATGGTAATGGTCAGATACTRTACCAAATTTGAACAAAGATTTGAATAAATATTTCTCCAAAGGCAGTATAGACTATCCAGTAAGCACATGAAAAGACATTCAACTTCATTCATTCATAGGAAAAGAGAAATCAAAACTACAATGAAATATACTTTGTACCTATTGTAATAGCTATAATTTTTTTTAAAAATGAACAACGACAGGTACTGGTAAGAATATAGAGATGCTGAAATCATTATTTATTGCTGGTGGGAATACAAAGTGGTGCAGCCACTATGAAAGATAATTAGGCAGTTCCTTAAAAGTTAGGTGTAAATTTACCATACAACCTAACATTTCTGTCACTAGGAATCTACCCAGGAGAAATGAAAGCATTTGTCTTTCAAAGACTGTGCATGAATGTTCATAGCATCTTCATTCTTAACAGCTAAAAAAGTAGAAACAATCCAAATGTTCACCAGCTAGAATATTCATAAAATGAACTGTAAGAAAATAGCAGTATGAGTGAATCTCAAAAGTATTATACTGGGCCAGGTATGGTGGCTCATGCCTGTAATCTCATTGGCTCAGAAGGATCACAAGTTCAAGACCAGCCTGGACAACATAGTGAGCAGAAATCTAGCTCAGTGTTGGAGCACTTGCCTAGCATTCATGAGGCCTTGGGTAATACACACAAACACACACACACACACACAGGAAATCCTCAGTAACTGATACAAAAGGGATTATGAAATGAAAGAAAGTAGAGTACTGCACTTTAATCATGTCATTTTATTAATGTTCAGAGGTAGCAGATAACAAGGGGGGCATATTTGGGAATGGGGATTGACTGCAAACAAGTTCAAGGGAAATTTGATAGAGGGGGATTCTAAAACTAGATTATGGTGAGGGTTGCACAGCTCTCTAAATTTACTAAAAATCATTGACTTGTATACTTTAAAATCTTTTTATCAAGTATAGGAAATAGCTGTTCCCTTTGAGCAATAATATTGACAGCTGTTAAAGACCAGCTGGCTTTAACTACTATTTAAGGAAAATATTAATGTTTTTTAATCTAGAAGACCCACAAAGACCAGCCATGTTCATGTCCACATGGATTCTGGAATCTCCTTTGAGCCACTATGAGAAGTGGCTCTAGCTAGGTTCCCAGAACTGGTTTCATCCCCCCTTTTAAAGAAACCTTCAGCATGGCCCTCTGTAGCTCCCTTTCTATCAGTTTCCCATTGTTGTATTCATAGAGAGTAAGGAGCATTCTCCAAAAGCATGTTTTTCCCTTTCCTTTTAGGCAGTAAACTGCCCCTTGGGAGACCATATTCACATCAAAGTGTCACAAACAAAATAATAAGAATGTACTTGCATTGGGGGGGGGGGTGGTAGAGGGTTTGCTTACTTTTCTCTGTGCTTTCTTACCTAATAGGCTCTGGATTACTGCCACAGCAAGGGAATCATGCACAGGGATGTGAAACCTCACAATGTCATGATAGATCACCAACAAAAAAAGGTACCATTACAGCCAGGCAGCAACAAGCCTTCGTTAGAAGGCTTAGGGCCAACCTAAAGCTGCCCCTACCAAGATGGTTTTTGTAGCCATGCTATTTCCTATGACCAACTTGTGTCGCTGTCGTTTGTCCAGTCTCTAGCGTTGTTTTCTACTGGGAAAATGGACAGATGACCTGACTGTAGTTACTTGTTTTATTTTGGTCTTAGTTTTCCAAAGGGCCTCAGAAAAAGAAACTACAGCTGGTGGTTTCTGCTTCACTTCTTAATGACCCTCAGACCAATCTGCCTGGCCTTAAAAGTACACTTGGGGCCCTCCTAATTTTGATATCCAACTCTGGTTGTCCCTGATTGGTGAGTAAATGGATCAGCTAGTAGTAGACAAGCTAGAGCCGTGCTTCAGTCCTGGGGTGGGCCATGTGTTCCCAACCCTTCTAGTTATTCCTGGAGCTTATGATGAAATCTCTGAGTGATGGGGCAGTGTGATACACATGTAAGTAGAATGGAAGCAGAAAAAAAGGTTGAGCTCTATTGATTTAGAATGATTTTAAAAAAGCATTCTGAGTGCTCTGCTCCAGAAATGACCTCTTTACTTTTGCTGAAAATGTAATTGTTTAACAGTATACCTGCTCACATTTTTTGTGTGGCTAAATAGTTGTTATCAGAAATGTGATGTGGTCTTGCCCTAGGCATAGGAATCTAGAAACACTCTTTTCACATGTTTTATTCTGTCATGTTTGTAGCTGCGACTGATAGACTGGGGCCTGGCGGAGTTCTATCACCCTGCTCAGGAGTACAATGTTCGTGTAGCTTCGAGGTACTTCAAGGGACCAGAGCTTCTTGTGGACTATCAGGTGAACTTGGTAGCAAGGCTGCTCTGGGTTGTTTTGGTACTTACTGAGGGCTTTTTCTGCTTTGTTATTTATTAAGTTGCATATATTCAATTATTCAATTCTCAGTCATTATTCCACCCCAGAATGCTAGTTGCAGATTTTTCTCAACAGCTTTTTTTTTTTTTTTTTTTTTTTTTTTTTAGGAGGAAGAAGTAGTTTTTAATTCTCAACTGTCTGCAAAGTTCACATAAAGACTAGAAACTCAGATCAGAAAAGTGGGTTTCTAACATCCTTGTCTGACTGGTTGTCTTTATTTCCCCAGATGTATGACTATAGCTTGGACATGTGGAGTTTGGGCTGTATGTTAGCAAGCATGATCTTTCGAAAGGAACCCTTCTTCCATGGACAGGACAACTATGATCAGGTGAGCAGAAAGCCATCTGGCTCTTACATGTTTGGGGATGAATGTCAAGAAAATAGTGTACTTAGAATATTCTCCTTGAGCCACTGCATGTCACTCAGTGTCTACATATAACCCTCTTTTTAAAGTTTAGAATTTCTTAGACTTTTGTCTGAGGTTATGAGGTCCCAACAATACAGATAATGCTCTCTTTCTTATGAAAAAGTCAGGTACCTCCTTTATCTAATAAAACTAGATTCTAGTTATTAGATTGTGATAAACCCCATAATTGTTAGTTTCTAGAAGACTACTGTCATAAGTTATGTTCTCCCTTTAAAGGCAGTTTGGAAATTTGCATTCATGTGAGCCTCATGTCCTTGAGTCTTTTGGCCAGTCCTAGACTCAGATCTCTGCCTGGTCCCTGGAGATCAAGTGGTATGGAATCTTCCAGTGCCCTGGCCCAGCATCCTCATAGGCTCACAGTGAGTTCTGTGCTCAGTGATTTGGTAGTTTGTTTTGTGTTTCAGCTTGTTCGCATTGCCAAGGTTCTGGGTACAGACGAGCTGTATGGGTATCTGAAGAAGTATCATATAGACCTAGATCCACATTTCAACGATATCCTGGGACAGTAAGTAAGAGAGAGAGAAAGAAAAAGGGCTTTGCCTTACCCAGTTTCAAAAGTGGGAAGGTTAGCCAAAATCATTCTTTCCCTTTCTAGTTACATCAAATTGAAGTATCTTTTTTTTTTCTTTTTTCTTTTTTTTAATTTGTTTTGTTTGCTGTACTGAGACTGAACCGAGGACCTCTCAGACATGCTACGCAAGCATTGTACCACTGAGCTATCTGCCCGGTTCTTTTTACTTATTTATTTTAATATTTATTTTTTAGCTATAGTTGGACACAATACCTTCATTTTATTTATTTATATGTGGTGCTGAGGATCGAACCCAGGGCCTTGCATGTGCTAGGTGAGTGCTCTATCACTGAGCCACAACCCCAGCCCAGTTCTTTTTATTTTGAGACAGGGTCTCACTGAGTCATACAGGCTTACCTCAAACTTAAGATCCTCTTATCTCAGCCTCCTAAATTTCTGGGATTACAGGTGTGCACCACCATATCTCGTTGCTATGTGTGTTTTCTTTAAATTATTTTGCAGTATTTGGACATAGTTTATATTTGTCTTCTAGTTCTTTTATTTCTTTATGAGATAATCTGTATCAATAGAAAATGGAGGGCAAAATCATAATGTTACAGAAAAAAGCTTTCTGGTACAGCATATGCATTAATTTTAATGACAAATCTTGGAAAGCTGTGTTTCTTCTTTGAATAAGAAACTGATAGTTTCTTGTTTTCTATAATAGATTTTCTATAAGGTAACAAGTTTTATAGCATTGAGGTTTTTGGTACAGTGCAGTAGTTTTAAAGGAAATGCTTGATTGACAGTTTTCAAACATTCTTTTATATTTGAAGCTACCATGTTTCTGTGGCCAGTACTTTAAATATGTCTTCTGATTAGCACAAATTACTAAGTTTCCACCATGCCTGACCCAGAATGAATGAAGAACCTGAGGCATTAAAAAAAGTCGAGAAAACTCTACAAATTCTAAATCAGATGTCCATGTTCTAACTAATTCTGCTTATCTAATTACAGAACACTGTTTTCTGTCAGTATATTGTGATGTGACTGGTGGGTAGAGTGGGTACCAGGAAAAATGAGATTTAACAAGTTGTAATCATTATAGAATTCTAAGATTGTGCTGGCTTTAGCCATAGTAGAGGAGGATTCTTGTTGAGTTTAGTCTCAATCCTAATGTTTCAATACTTTGTTTTCAGACATTCACGGAAACGCTGGGAAAACTTCATCCACAGTGAGAACAGACACCTTGTTAGCCCTGAGGCCCTAGACCTTCTGGACAAACTTCTGCGATATGACCATCAACAGAGACTGACTGCCAAAGAAGCCATGGAGCACCCATACTTCTGTAAGTCTCCAGGGACTTTTTAGGGGGTCTAATTTATTAAAGGGAAAAAAAAATCTTTCACATCTTTGAGGCCTGTTAAGGAAAATCTAGGTGTTTGGCATGGATCATTCTTGGAACTAGTCCTCATTCATTGTAGTCATTGAAACAACTTTCAAGACCAGATTTTTGATCCCCAAAGGCATTTGCTCATTCACCAGCTGTAGTTCCCTTGAGTCCAGTCTTTTTGGCCACTCCTGTCACCCTGAGAAAGACAACTAAAATTTGTTTTCAAATGTTATATTTGTGGGGAAACCTAATCAAAGATTTCTCCCCTCAAAACACAAGTAATTGGCTAAAAGTAGTAAGATAACCATAATGAATTTCTAAAGAAAGCAGTAGATAAAAGAGATTTGAAGGAAGACCTCACTAGGATCTAACTGGATTGCTTACATGTGGTTGAGGTTCTGCGGGCACGTGGTTTTTCCCACTGATAAAGTGTTTCAGATATACTTTCCCTGTGTTATTAGCAATGTGAGATTTCATCCAGTTAGAGAGGAAAATGGAGAATAAGGAAATTAAGTGACTAGTGACTTACTGCAGTTCACCCTCTGAATCAAGATGAAAACTCTTATTCCTTGAAGTTTTTCTCTGTTGTTAGACCAGCATGCTATCTCTCCCTCTCCTTCCTGCCCCCACCCAGAATTTATCACCACCCCATTATTCCCAGCCTGAAGGTTATACTGCTRTGGTCTTAGACCTAGGGAAGTAAGTACCAGGAGACAGCAGAATTAAAAGGTCTTAACCCTTCAGCATTCTGGACCCCAGACAGTGGAATTCAGATGTCCTCTTTACAATTTCTGACACAGAAAGGTGTTCTAACCCTTCGAGGTGGGTCAAATTAAGAAAATTGATATTATACATAATTCATGATCTAGCTATTTTTCTAAATACAAAGTATACTTTAATTTAAAAAATTTTAAGCCACTATTGCTTAAAATTAATAGGCTTCTATTCATCTTTTCCCCTGATGTGCTTATTATTGCATATGCTTTAAAGAAATTAGGGGTTGAATATTATGTTGGTATTCAAAGAAAATAACACATAAATTAGTGGGAATTTTGAACAGTAGGAAATTAGGGTTTTTATGCCTCTCAGCAATTGAGTCTGTCCTCTGAGGAAATAGAAAAATTGACTGTAAGAACAGTTCCCCTGATTCTTTGTGTGTGGTTTTGTGATTTCTGTCTCCCTCTCTGGACCTCCAGACACTGGCTTGCCCAGGGTCTGTATGTGTCCATGTCTCACTGTGAAAGGGGCCGGTCTGTTGTGACTTCCCCTCCTGCACTTGAATCCTGACTTGGTTGCATTGTGTCCTGCTTTCTTGCAGACCCCGTGGTGAAAGAGCAGTCCCAGCCTTGTGCAGAGAACGCTGTGCTTTCCAGTGGTCTCACGGCAGCCCGGTGAAGACTGGAGAGCGACGGGTAATGCGGCCTTGATGCTTGCCAATAAAACCAAGCACCAAACACAAACCTTGAAGGAAACTACAGTGTGATAAAAGAGAAATTTTAATCATTCCTTCTAAAGGCAAAGAAGAGTAAAGACCTAAAAGTCTGTCAAAAAGACACTCCCCAGTACTAGTCTACAGGGAGCTGCCATTGTGGCAGCATGATGATGCACATAGTTCAGGATCTGAGGGACTCTCCCTTTGGAATGCATGGGAGATGAGAAACTCGGAGTTGTTGTACATTTACCTTCACTTAACAGGACACCACTATTGAATTAACCCGTTCGGTCAACAAGCTCTGAATATCTGACTTCCTATCTATTCCATTGTGGTCTGGTTTCCTTTTGTGAGAATTCAGGCTCAAGTTTTAGCAAATGTCAGCAGTCTATACTGACACACCAGCCTCATTTATGAAAAAGAGATATTAAAACAGTGACAGTATTTTTTTTTAAGCTCTTTTACAAATTCATGTTTTATGTATTTTTTTATGACATGAGCTTTCCAGGAAAAGTCCCTCATCCTTGCAGTTTTCCTCTTAAGTGTATGCATTTGGGAGCAAACTGCAGTCAATTTCAGAATCCTATGATGTCAGGAGACATCACTTTAAGTCTTGAGATGCCATCAGCAGGTCCGTTGTTTCATCAGAAGTTCCATGCTAAGTGGCTGACGGTAACCTTTGAGCTCTCACGGTAACCTTTGTTGATTTGCCTAACCACAGAATCCCATTGCTGATTTTGTTTACTGTGCCCCTCACCTCCTTTTGTAGCCCTGTAAGGAGAATTTCACCATTTCCCAGCGCATCCCTGTGTGTGCATCTATTTTAATGCACCTCTCTGAAAAAAAATACTTTTTTATTGTTCATTTTTTTTTTTTTTTTTTAATAACCATAACTAAAGCTGGAAAGTCAGTTTTCAGGCAGGTCAAGAAGGGAGAAAATGTCCTATTAGGATTTATTCAGGAAATACTTATTGGAAAAAAAATGTATCCTCATCTTTTTTCCCTCTTTTTATCCCCATGACAATACCAGCTATAATCAGGGTAATATGCATTTTAAGCTCTGATAATGTGAATGTGATGGCAAAGATAAATCTGTCATGCAGGTACTGACAACATGTGGGCAAGACCATCCTGTAACTGAGAGGAGAGGAATGTGCAGGGGGGTGGGGATGAAGTGGAGCTCCTGGAGCCAGTGTTAAAGTTTTGGATCCACTGTGCTAAAGTCCATGTTAACAAAGAAAGCTACATTTTTGTTTAAAAAAAAAAAATAGGGCTGATTTAATTTCGGGGACTTGTAACCAACAAGGTTTGTTGGCTGTTCCCTGGCCCCCGGCTGCAGACTCATGCCTCAGCTCTGGGGACCTAGCATGTCTAGAATAGAGCTAGAGGTGTCTACCACCACATCATACTTAGGACTTCTTTATTAACTATTTAATAATGCCGTACATTTTTATAAGGTTAGATTGTTTGTTTGAAACATCTGTTTACATTCCATATCCCAATAAAATCATATTGGTATTGGTAGCAGGTCCTATCTCTAAATGCAGATTCTATTTTTGTCGTTTGGTCTGTGGAAACTTAAATTGCAAATGAAACTCATAGAGTTGAGTTTATAGATTAAAAAATAAGATTCTGAAGCCAGGAAATACATTCACTTAAGGTTCTCATACCAATACCGCCTGCCTGCATTGCACAGTCTGCATATTGATGTATACATTTGTTTTACCTGAAAATTAAAAACAAGACGTTAGTGAGCTCTCAAATGAACCTATTTCAATAAGTCAGGCAGTGAAACTCAGTGTTTTGAATTATCAAAGGCCTCTGACCCGCCCTTATGGGCAGCCTGAACCATTGGTTATCAGGGAGAGTGCCTCTGTGTCTTTCCTGCTCCCTGCCCCATTTCCTCCTCCATCACCCATGCCTCTCCCCTTACCTTGCTTTTCTCTTGTCTTTCTCTTTCTCCTTTTCTTTTCTATTCCAGCTGCCTTGATAGGCAAGAGTACCCTGCTGGAGGGGTTTTGTAGAGCCATAAACCTGCTCCTTTCCCTTGGGTCCTCCAGAGGCAATGAAAGCATCTGGAGAAGGGTCATGTGATAGGCTTCTGCCCCTTCTTCCTTTGGCCATGCTTCAGGTGGCACAGCACAACTGACCGGCCTGTCCTGGGTCGGTACTGCAGCTTTGGCACAGCAGTTATCTTTTGAGCGTGTGGTTTGTTTCCACAGCACCTGTTCTTACCTCTCTTCATGCCTTAGACTTGGAGCATTCCTGGCTTTGAAATGCTCACTCCCTTCTGGATCTGGACTTGACACCTAAGCTGTTCTTTCCAAAACTGAAATGAGTCTCGTCTAGTCCTAGTCCTCTCTTTCACTGGTCTCCAAGTCCATTTTGTGTCCAGATGGCCCAAGCTCCCCTGAGATATTAGAGTGTTTGCCTAGGTTAGGAGATGGTCTTGGAGAGTCCTCAAGGAGGGTGGGTGGGTGTGTCTGTGTGAGTGAGAGTGTGTGTAGCAGTGGGAGTCTAGTCTTACATTTAGACTAAACTAGATAAGTTTACCCATCCAGTATCTTTTAAGTCAGCATATTCTTTTTTAAACTCAGTAATTTTCATTTGTTTGCTTCATTACCTTATAACAAGTTAAAAGTGCCTATGACAAGGACTTAATTCTTTCCTAAAGAAAAGCAAAAAACATGGGGAACAGGGTAGTGTTGCACTGTCATCTCAGGTACTGCCTGTGTTCAGGAACATAGACCTGTAGGGTGAGGACAGAAGGTGCCTGTGCTGAATCCAGGTCAGGGTCTCACGGTTGGTGGCCATGAGTGAGCTTAACTGCAAGGGTGCTTCAGCCAAGGAATTTCAGGGTGCGGGTGGAACTGATGCAGGGCTAACCAACATTCTCAATGGTGACTGTGTGGCAGTTTACTCTCTCCAGGTTCTTGTCAGCTGACTGGTTCCCATCCTGTCCTGTGGCAGGGGGCTGGATAGGAGATGCTGTTAGGTGCATAGTGCGGCAGTATTCTGCTGGGTATTGCTGGGGCTTCTTACCAATCAGAGCAGTGCCTGTGCCAATTCAGTGATGCCCTTGGGCACCAAGCATTCTGCCAGGTCTTGTCACGGGTGTTCCAATGCATCAGTGCTCACCAGGCTTAGAGCACATGTATTCCCATAGAGAGAAAGGTGCTCTCAGGCCGATTGACTCAAGGAGACAGAAGAGCTCAGAATCCTGGGAATGTGAAGAGAGTGACTGGGGGGAAGGGGCAGGTAAAAGGAATCCATAAGAAAAATGACCTAACTGTAGGTCTTGAGGGAATATCCTTGAAAGGCTGAAATCAGGGGACACCAAGTTCTGACGTGTGCCCTGGAGGAGGACGCTGCCCCTCTGGCTTGGGTCCACTGGGCCTTTGAGAGATGGTATCTTGATTTAGGTGCTGAGTCCCAGAGAGCTGGTGCCAAGGGTCTTGTCTCTGCACACTCAGGGAAATGGCTTAAGTTCTCCCAGGTGCTGCATTGATGCAGATGGAAGCAAAGCTACTTTGGAACACAAACCAGTCAGAAGAATTTTGAGATGTGCATTGAAATCTAAGAGAGCCCCGGTTAATGGTCTCCTCAGTGCCAGTTCAGACTGATTCGTTAGAAGCCTGTGTTACTGTGTGAGCACCCACAGGGAAGAGCAGACCTCCCTCCTGCAATAAATGAGTGGATAATAACTGGTGAGAGTCACATTCACTTAAGTAGAAACCCTCTGAAAGCAAACTCTGGGTCCTCATGAGACATAAGCTCAGGTTTGTCAGGGGGCTTAATAAATTAAAACTGAAGAATATCCTGCCTTTTAAAACCTTAAGTCCAGAATGGGGATATTGGGGAGGGGAGGTTGCAAGGAAACCAGTAATAACATGCTTCTGAGCTTTATGAATGTTTTAATGAAAACACCCCCAACCAGGGATTGTAGAGGCTGGGAAGAGATGTGATGGGGTATACAGTGATGCATACTTTTGTGTCAATACTCAACAATGTGCTACAAATGTGATTCTTAACCCTGAACTGCATGTATTGGGGATTGTTTAAAAAACAAMAAAAAAAACTTTGAATCAATAAATTAACAGTTTTTCACTTGCTGGCTCTTCTTGCTGTAAATGGTTGACTAAGCGTTTGTGACAAATCTTGACATCCAGTGGAAAGCTTGGATACTCTTCAAGAACCGTGGAGCCTTCTTTTTGCAGAAAAGCAACACTGCCTGGGTTTGATCCATTGCAAGTGACTACTTCAGACACAGTTGGCCAACTCTGTGTATCTCTGGATGACTGATGTGTGATTCATGTGCTACTGCCCTTAAAGGGAAGAAAAATGCCATGTTAAATCCTGTTTTCCTAAATAAAAATGTTGACAATACCCAGCCTTCCCGAGTGGGAGACAAGCCATTGCTATGAGGACCTTAACTTGTATTTCCTGTCTCTTGGGGGAGGGAGGGATAAACCTTGAACTGCAAGGATGTGTATGGTGGTTGCAGATCATCACCATGGCGTGAAGTTGAATTAAAGATGTGGTGGGATTGTTTTGTTTCTGAGTTGCACCACTCAGACACCTGCTTCTTGGGATTGACTTGTTGGTGACTTTAACTTTGTAGCCCATTGTTCTTCACTTGTGAAAGTCTCCCCTGCGCCTGTCCTCACAACACATGCAGGCACATGTGAGCACGTGCAACTGTTGAGCGATGGTGGTATCTTATTTATGAGTGTGCTTTTTTTTTTTCCCCACTGATCACTGTGGAATTGGACTCTTGGAAATCAGTACTTAAAGGCAAATACGGTAATTTCTTAATGTGCTTCGGCAGGCATTCTCAAATATTAATCAATGGAACCTTTACCCAAAGGAAGTTTTCATCAAATAACTGTGACAGTTTCCCAAGGGCAAAGTGCCTTCCCTCAGTATTGCTAAACGGCCCTGGGAGACACTCCTGTGCTGGCATCTCACCATCCACTTGCTGTGCCAGGTGGGAAAGGAGGAGTGGATTTTCAGGCCATGCCACCAGGCAGCTGTTTGCTTCTAGCACAGAATTGAAAATACTCACTGTCACTTGTTCCCTTATTGGTGGACTTGGCCCTTTTCTCTGAGTACACGCCAAGTCATCTTCTCATTCTTGGTCCCAAGATGTCCTTAATAAATTGGGTCAGGTTAAGGGTGATCTGGTGTTGGACTGCTTGACTTGCATGGAGTGATTATGGGGCTTGACACCAGCGTCCTGGACTCCAGGGTTGGAGAGTCAATTATGGCATGGTGTGTCCAGAGCTCTCCCCTTCCTCTCCAGAAGACTGCCTTTTGCAGTCAAAAGGGCAGGAAGAGGGTACTCTGAAACTTGGAATCATGCAGCGGGTTCTCACTGCATGTTCCTGGAAGTGGCTTGGGGAGGTCAAGCTTGCATTCTACCCCCAGCCCTCTTCAAGAGAAGGAAGCCCCACGCAAGTAGAGGCCTGCCCCACTCTGGGTCAGATTGATTAATGCCGTCTTTCCCCTCCTCCCATCTCTCCCCAGGTCTGTTGCGGTACCTCCCACTTTTCCATAAGCAGAACAAGAACCAAATCAAACGTCTTAACGTGTGTAGCGAGATCACGTTCCGTGAGCAGACACAAAACGGTGGCAGGTTTGGCGAGCACGAACTGAAGGGCAGCCTACCACCGTATATCAAACCTCACTTCCGAATGTAAAAGGTTCACATGCCTTGACTTCCTGTTGACTTCCTCCCGACCCAGAAAGCATGGGAAATGTGAAGGGTATGCAAAATGGTTGTTGGTTACTGTTGCTCTCCACACCCCTTGACGTGTCCTGTGGCCGCCTGTTTTTCCAGCAAACCACGTTAATTAGCTGACCACAGACACCACAGTGGGGGAATGGGGGCAATATATGGCATGACGGGCAGTTACATATTATTTTAAAAGTATATATTATTGAATAAAAGGTTTTAAAAGAAATGTATGGAGAGTTTTCAGTATGGAAAGGACCATTTAAAAAGACCTATGACCATGGAGGACTGAGTGACAGAAGATCTTGTGTGCCAGGTTCCAACCAGAGGAAAGTGGGGGAAGTCCCGAGGTGAAGAGGGCCAGTTATAAAGAGCAATGCAGAGAAAAGGGAGTGTTCAGAGGTGTGGAGTGAACCATCCTAGGAGTGGGGCAACCAGAGAAAGGAAGCACCCAATGGGCTGGGAGAACTGGCCAGTGGCCACCCCGGGCCCCAGTCTGAATTGGGTGAGTGGCCCAGCATTTGAAGTAGGTAAATATTGCCTCCACTGAACTCAAAAAGATGCCTTAGCCCTTTTTTTGCTGTCCCTTGGCTTATGTCTGAACATTTCATTCCATGTCCTAATCCTGCCCGCCCCCCCTCTGAAAAAACACCTCGCCCCAGAGGCTGGTGGAGCCTACTGTCCAGAGGCAGGGGAGGGATGAGCTAGGGGCTGCTCCTGGTCACGTTCTGACGCTCCATGAATGAGAAGTGAACTGGTCCTCCCAAATGGCAAAGAGGCTGGAGTGGAAGCAACAGTTGTATCTGTTTAGTGAAAACAAAACCAGTTTTAGAAATGGCTTTGCTGGCTCCCTCAGACCTGGGTCTTACCTCCCAGAACAGCTGTGCCAGGGGTGGGCAGTGAGAACAGTGGCCACAGCCTGGTGGCCACCCAGCCTTGCCTCTGATGGCTGGGCCTGTGTCCTCCCACTGCCTGTAGAGGGCAGAAGAATCAGCAGAAGTGGACACCCAGGTTGGGGTGCCGGCCTGGTCTCCACAGAGGCCATTTGTTCCACACAACACTCCTCCTCTGCTGCTTGTTCTGAACAGCTGTGTGAATCCAAGTGTGGACACTCAGGGCATGTGGAGCAATTATAGAAAAAGGCAAAGAGGTCCCTGTCAGGGCTGCCACCACGACGCCACAGTGTCCTTTGGGCCAGCTTCTGCCATTTTCAAACAGTTCCTCAGGCCTGAGAGCTTGAAATTACCTGCCCCTGGATACCAGCGAGTGAAAACCCACAGGCCACCAGCAGAGGACTTTGTCAGGCCAGTGGGACATAAACAGACTTGGTACTTCCTGGCCCCATCACTGACCTAATTTGTTTAAGCTGAATCTTTTGTGGGGCCCTTTTTGCCTCAAGGCTCTACAAATTCTTGTTGGTCTTCCAGATCTCTGGGATGGCATCAAAATACCTCATTTGAATGTGTGAGTTCTACCTACACAGCATGTATGTGTTATCTCCATGTGGAGCTGCTGGTGTTTAAGGCCCTTTCCAGATGTGGAGGGTCTTGTACAAACAGGTCCACAAGTGGTGGGCTTGGGGCTTGGAATGTTTGCTTTGCCCTCAATCTCTCCTCCTGTCTTCAACCCTGGCTCTCCTTAACTTTCCAGTATGGAAGTCTCGATTTCCAGAAACTTCTGAAGGATATTAAATAAGCTTGGGTTTTGTGGATGGTTATGGTTGGGGAGGAGAGTGGTTGTAGAAGGAAGCAGAAGGAGAAGTTTTTGCTTAAGTGGTTTTGACTTTGAGAGAAGGGAGACTGCTGACCCAAGGATCATCTGTAGTTCATCCACAGCAGACTTGGAGTTTCAGAATCACATCTTCCAACAGTCCTGTTTGTATTTTGGTGGATTAATATTTATTGCATTTTCCTGAAGATCGAAATAATCCATGCTTGTGGTAAATAAATGCAAATGAATTTTATCATTATCAACAGAAAAGTTGATGAAGCCCCACCACTATGCGTGCAGGTGCACACATGCACGCCCTTTCTTCCGTTGGAGGTAACCACTGTTAAAATTGGTGTGTAAGCTCCCATTTTTTCCTATGCATTTACTGACATTGATTCTCATGGTAATAGGAATGTAATAGAAATGTAATTGAACTCTGTTATTTACCAGAAACTTGGCATTTTCACTTAACTGAAAATCTTATTGTATATGTGTGTAGATCTACCTCACCCCTTTATCATGGCGGCATGGTATTCCATTGTGTGACGTATCACAACTGAAACAATTCCTTCTTGATAGACTCTGGGTTGTTTCTATTTTCAGTATTGCTGCAGTGGGCAAATCTGCACATAAGTTTTTTTGAATTGGTTATATGTAAATAAAATCTTAAAAGAGTTACTATGCCATATGATTTTTTAAAAAATGTTATGATTCTGAGAAAGCAGTGTTCTGCCCCTTCCACACTAGTACAGATTAGACCTGCCATGACTTTAGTCATGGGGTTCTTGGGGGGTTTAGGCACTTGGGGCCTGGTGCCCAGTGCCTGTGAGCTTTCTGGGGACCTACGGAAATGTTCAAATCTGAAAAACAAGTGATGACTCTACATCAAGAAAGTTGAAAATAAAAATTAAGTGAAATTAAATGTCTTAAAATGGATAATCCTGTGAAATTTATTGTTGTTAAAGTCAATATTTTCTTTAAAACATACTTTTCTCATTCCAGTGAGTTACCATCATAAAATCCAATGATTCCACAAGCAAATTCTAAAGATTTTTTTTAATTACAGGAAGAAATTATCTTAAATATGAAAAATAGTTTCACTTTAATGTATTTGGAATGCTATGGAAAAACCTTCAAAAGTAAGCATGCCGAGAGCCAGCAAATGTTTTAAAATAGCCCTGGCTAGAGGGGGCCAGGTGGAATGGATGAGCAACATTTCCAGAATATTATTCTTCAGGCTGTTGAAATAATGTGCCTCTCAAATGATTGTGCTAGGTGAAGAAGCCAGACTCAAAAAGCTGCACACTGAGTGATTCCATTTATGGGACAATCTGGAAAAGGCAAACCAGGGATGAGAGCAGGTCTGCGGTTGCCTAAGATTAATGATGGCTACAGAGGGTTAGTATGAGGTCATTTTGGGGGGTGCTGCAATCATTCTGTGGCCTAAATGTGATGGTTGTATGACTTGGTGCCTTTGTCAAAACTGTACACCAAAAAAAGTACATTTTATTGTTTGTAAACTTAAAAATTCATTTTAAAAAATAACAATAATGTGCAGGGGCCTAACAGCATCCCTTTGGACTTCAGGCTCAGATTAGCAGGAACCTCGTCTGCCCGCCTCTGACTTTTCCTGATAGTCAGGACTGATGGTCTTCCTCGGATAGAACTGCTGGGACCCGCTTCAGTTGCCCTTGGCCAGCTGAAGACTCCAGGCATTCAGGGCATGCTTCYGTCTTTGCTCTCGGCTGAGGGACAAACTCCACCTCGTTGCTGYGCCTCTCCCTCCTACCCCGGTATCAGCAGGGAGAGGTGAAAAATAAGTTCTGCCTTACAGTGCATGGCATGTCTGTCCCTTGTGTGTCCCAAGGGAAGGTTCTCTGTGTTTCTAGACTTGGACTGACAGGAAGGGTTGCTGTCCCCTGGGTGTTAGCATCTGACCAGGGTTTTTATGCACTGAAAGGAATGCTTATAACTACTTATGTTTCAAATAATGTCTTCATTATTAAAATTGTACATTTAAAAATCTCATTTGTGTCTTAAAGATCAATTTACAAATCTTGTATTCATGGCTGCAAACTAATTGATTTTGTATATAAATGTGAGTACTTGCTTAACTTTTGATTGATGGTCAACTAACTCCGAACTTAATGGGTTAACAGTAAATGTTGTTTACATGCTTAATCTAGTTACCTTAAACAGTTCAGACTCAATCACATTCTCGATCTGTTTGATTTGCAAATATGAAAAATCTAAAATCTGATGAAACCTTCCTAAGCACTTGAAAACTAATAAGTCTAAGTCTAAACTTATAAATTTAATAAATTGAAATTTCTTAAATGAAATGTTTTAAACATTAAATTTTCTTGGACATGATAAAATTAAAATCATATCTAATTTTAAATTCCTTTAAGCATTTTGATTTAAGTTCAAAACATCAGATCCTCTTAATACATTAGGTCCTCTTTAATATTTAAAATATCTAAAAATATGATCACAATCGGAAACTTATTACCCAATTTGATACAGATTATTGAGATCATGGTTTAGTTTACTTGCTATAATGTCTGTGTGGGGGTTTTTGTTTGTTTTTGTTTTTATTTTTTTGGGGGGTGGGGTATCAGGGATTGAACTTGGGCACTCAACTATTGAGCCACATCCCAGCCCTATTTTGTATTTTATTTAGGGACAGGGTCTCACTGAGTTGCTTTGCACATCGCTTTTTGCTGAGTCTGGCTTTGAACTCGTGATCTTCCTGCCTCAGCCTCCCGAGCCACTGGGATTACAGGAATGCACCACTGTGCCTGGCATATCTGTATTTTTTGACACCCCACCAAGGGGAACATACTATGCCTCAGCCTAGAACTTCACTATATTCGTGGTCAGATTCCCCGTCCCCCATCCATAACGGGATGGCAAGTGCTCTACAGCTGAGCCACAACACCAGCCCTTTTGTACAAGTTTTAATTGCCTAATTTGCATGAATTGAACTTGTGTACCCACTGCAGTTCCTCTACTGCCTCCTTGGAATGTTCTTCCTTTTAACTGATTACCTTTTTAAAAAATCTGACTACAGCCACTTATTAGCATGGTTTCTCATATTTTGTTCTTGTATATCTTTATGTTGAAGGGAATGCAAAACACAAGAACTGTAGTGTTTGATGCATATGTCTGTGGGAGACATGATTTTAGGTTAATTTGGTCTACATGACCTTTGAAATGAACACTGATGTCTGAGATGAACTTTTGCTCTCCATCCATTTATTCATTGACTGCCTATCATGATGGTGGGTAGTGTGCTAAGTCCTAGGATACAATGCACAGAGAAAGACACAGTYCACATCTGGAGGGAGCATGCACAAACTAAGCCAGAGGAGCAAACCTGTTAATTTATGTTTTCCCTACCTTTGATGGAATAATCTTTTTTTTTTAAAGAGAGAGAGAGAGAGAATTTTAATATTTATTTTTTTTTAGTTACCAGCAGGCACAACATCTTTGTTTGTATGTGGTGCTAAGAACCGAACCCGGGCCACACGCATGCCAGGCAAGCACGCTACCGCTTGAGCCACATCCCCAGCCCTGATGGAATAATCTTTACTGTGACCAAGGTTGTGATCACAATACACCTCAAACTTTGACATGAGGGAGAATGGAACACAGTTTATGCTGATGAGTAGCTGGGAGAAGCAAGCTACTTCCTTACTTTCATTTCCTTGGTCAGTGTGTTTATTTAGGGTCAGGGTCAGGTTTTCATTTTAAGTGGAACAATTAATGAGAGAGCATCATGAGAACAAACCAGTACAATAAGAGACTTCACAGAGCTTTTGTTGGCCAATGACTGGGATATAGCTGCCCTGATTCTGAGCAGAAGAGCATCTCTTTCAGCTGGGTGRGCTTGGACCTGGAGACCAGGAGAGACAGAGCCAGGAGCCCCAAGTCCATGACTCTGATTCATAGAATCAACACATACTGCATACCCACTTACAAATGCAAGCATTTGGGGCTGGGGATGTGGCTCAAGCGGTAGCGCGCTCGCCTGGCATGCGTGCGGCCCGGGTTCAATCCTCAGCAGCACATACAGACAAAGATGTTGTGTCCGCCGAGAACTAAGAAATAAATATTAAAATTCTCTCTCTCTCTCTCTGTCTCTCAAAAAAAATGCAAGCATTTGTTTTGGGCACCAAGATATATCTCTGAGCAACACAGACCAAATTTTTTCTCCTAGWAACTCACAACTGAGCAGTAGGGGGAGATGGACAATAAGCAAATAATTAGACTGTGAAGTGGTGATGAGTGCTATTTTTAAAATCATAAAGCGGACTAGGGGGAGAAGAGTAGGTAGCATGTGTTGAGGGGGGCTGCTGGTTCAGATTAGGTTGTCAGAAAAGCCCTCTATAAGGTAGTGTAGTGGGTTGAGTTATGCTCCTCCCAAAAAAATTCATGTTCACCTAGAACCTCTAATGCAACCTTATTTGGAAAGGATTTTTGCAAAAGCAAGTAGCGAAAAGACCTCAAAAATACACTGAATGTGGGGTGGGCCCTAAGTCCAGTG